ATATATATATATATTACTGTTTTTTCTGGAATTTTAATATTCTTAATATTTTAATTCAATTTATATATAATCGTCAAAATTTAAACTATTATTAAGTATTATAGTTAAATCAAAAATTACAAATATAAATAATTTCAATGATCAGTAAATATCTTACTGTTTTCTCGCTTATTAATTCCGTTGATTGTCCCGGAAATGGTATAAAGTAAATACCGATTTCGTACGTGGTTGATGGTTTCAAGTTTTCAATTACACAATTTGTTACAGCACGATGAATCAGTGGTGTTGTCGCATAAACTTTACCATCATGTTCTTTATATCTCAATTGAACGCCGTCTATGAATTGTAACTCGTAATCTGTGAATTTCTTCCACATAACATTGATCCAGGTAGAGTTTGTTTCCACTATTCTAAGTTCAGCGTCAATTAGTATTTGCGGCGGCAAAGTTATCTCTTCTGCACGTTTCTCTAACGTACGTACACTATAAATCTTGCTAGTTGGACTATTGGCCAAATCCTTCAGTTTCACTGTAATCTTCATTTTATATTCAGTCATTGGCTTTAAATCACCTAACTCAAATTCGAGTTGAGGTGTTGCAATTAAATCATCAGGAGGGGCGAACACTTGTACTTTCCACGTAGATGGATCAAAATTTCTAGAAAATGAGAAATACCAAAGATTGAGAGATATTACGATTGGATATATTGAATAATGATGATGCCATATATGAGAAAATGGAGATAAATATATACAAATGGTTCTTGCAACTTACAATCACTTTTCGTCATGCAAACCACTTTTGATCAAGCAAGCTAATGAAATATAATACAAATTATGGTGTTAGCATAAAAATTATAGAATAAATAAATATTATAGTAGCTGCCACTATAAGTTATGCAATTCAGTAATTAATGTCTCACTACATACGTTTTATCGCTGGTATATCGTAGTTCGACTCTTCCATGCAATCCTACCAGAACTTGGGGTATAGTAAATACTAGCCGAACTGTATGTTCATCTAGCGCTTCCAGTATTTGCATTATGACTTCACTGGAGGAAGATGCAGTTGCAAATCCAGATAGTGAAAAGCCTGGAGGTATAATATTATGGTCCAAACCTATAATACATTGTAATATATATTTGTTATTATATCACATTACATATAGATCTATCTTGCTAATTATTAATAAAATTCAGAAGTATCTGAGATATAATGAATCTTCGAGTAGATAATAATGTCAATATTAATAGTTTGATGACTTAAACCATTATTTACCTGGCAATTGTGACAAATGACTACAAGCCCACTGCAAACAGCATGGATTAATAGGTAAATGCATCAATGTTGCCTGATGAGGAGGACACGGCAAATTAGTAGGTGGTAGAGCTGTTACAGGTTTACAAGCAGCTTGACAGGATACATTGCCCATTTCACAATAACAACGTTTTTCACATCCAGTGACATTTGAGGGTAACTCGCTCCAATTATCATATGTAACTCCATCATAGTTACAGGATCCATTATTTCTACAGCGTACCTCCTAGAATAATTGTTATTCTAATATTATAAATTATAAAAACTTGATAAGGTTTTCTCAGAATTTTTTATTAATAAACATATTCTTTATTTAATTTTTATTGGGCTGATAAGAGCCAGACTCAAATAATAGTGCATTAGTTTCAAGGAAAATAATTTCTGAAATTTTGCCAAAGAAAAAAAAGATGTATTTTTTGACAAGAAATATAATAGTTACTATACTAGTTTGTACTTTATTTATATGGGACATTCTATATAAACTTCTAATTCAGAAATTGTTGTAGATCATACCTGAGGGCAACACTGCGGTGCCTTTGGAACAAAATTTGCTGGAACTGTTTCCCAATCTAGACAGTGAGGATCCAGCACATCCAGTCCAAAGTCTGTGGGACATTCTATTGTGTTACATTCAATTTTGCCACCTTCCGCACAAATGCAGAAGAAGATGCATTCATCGTACCATTCTGCACCAATTTTATATGATTTTCCTCTGTAATTGCAGGAATTCTTGTCAGACGTTTTCTCTGAAATGTTTGTCTTTACTACTTCAGCTGGCAGAGACACTTGTATGGCTGGTCCGGTACGACTTCCGTCTGTTACACGAACGTAGTATGTGTGTGCAGGTTCCAAATTTGAAAGAATACCATCTGTAAAATATACTTTATATAGCTTTGTGTCTCTCTTTCTAATTCATCACTTTTCATAATTAAATTTCCCAAGATTAACAATATTCTATAATTAATGAAAGCCAGCAAAGACGTATTTTCTCTTTGAAATCTAAAATCTAAGTAAAATTTGAACAATTTTTCGTCTTCAGTAGAGCTTTACCTTTGTCAGGTTTCTGCTGTCTCCACACATGATTGTTCTGTGAGATCTCTATGGTAACATCTTGGAGGTTTTTTACAGACATCTTCAGTTTGATTGCTGTTGAGTTTAACACTTTTACATCTATCAAATGCACATTTAAGTCAGTGGTATTGTCTGATTTAATCTCATGGTCGCCCAAAGTAACGTCACAAAGTGTAATAGTGCAGCAGGCATCTCTAAAGATATCAAATAATTAATCATTATCTTGTTCATGAATTACTCTATTTCACACATGATTCAATTGTTTGTGACAGTTTTATCCAATGAAGAAGACTATACCTGGGATCAGGTAATACAACGCAGCGGTCATGCTGGTTGACTACAGAAATAGTCTCATTTGGTGGACATCTGGACTGACATTTTAAATGACCACCAGCCTCACAGATGCATACTTTGGAACAGCCATCTTCAATGCGTTGTCCTCTACTCACGGTCTTGTTACCAAGTATGCATGTTTCTTCCGGTTCGGTAGCTGCAACAGCATGTTTCTTTTTTATATTGAATAGCTTTTTTATAAGAAAATAAACATAAAAATCCTACGAAAATATAGAAAAAGATTCTGAATGAAATATAAATAGCTTATGCTATCTGTGATATTGATTGTGAATTATATGTTTATGAAATAACTGACTATAATGCAAAATTCATTCTTTTATTGTAAAAATATGACAATATAGCATATGAAAATATAGCAGATAATGTATTCTAGGACTAATAAGCATTAATAAATGTACTAATAAAATCTCTTGAGTATCTTTTAAGTAGAAAGATAAAAATAAATAATTTAATATGAGAATGAGGTAAGTTTTACAATTTATAAAATTGATTTGTACATATTATTTTAGAAGCAAAAAAAAAAAAAAAAAAAAAAAAACAAATAAATCATGAACTTACCTCAGTCTGTGCTGAGCTCATTAATTTTTGAGGATATAAGGAAACATACCCGAATCTGTGGCACAGACAACAAGGGAACAGCATGAGTCCTCAGTGATTATTTTTTCTTGACACAAAGTATCTCCAATATCTTTGCCCGCCCTGACATAAGGAAAAACACATAACGGTTGACAATCCGTAATTCCATTTTCGGAACATATGCACTTGTCCTTGCAATCTCGGATAACTTTTTCACCTACTGTATAAGTATGATTTCCATAGATACACGTTGGTATTTTCGGAAATAATGTCGAAGAAACGTTTATGGCAGTTTCATTGTGCGATGCGATGTATTCTCCGCCTGTAAAATGTTGTTCAGATTGTTTAGAATTAATTTTTCTTCAAATTGTGACGTACTGTGACGCACTACCATCCGCGTCTGGCTTCTAGTCTAGCCCGGTAAATTTAAAAATTTTTATTTTTTAGTCTTTTTAAAAAGTCTTATTATATTAGTTTTATAATTTGCATATCTGTAATAACGACATTTTATAAAATCGCAAATCAAATATATAATTGATATAAATAAGACAAAATTCTTATATAAAAATATATATTAAAATAAATCGAAATAAATATTTTATTTATATTAATTATTTAATTTATAATGCCTTTCTAAAATTTTCGAACTAAAAATAAAAAAACAATTTTTTAACAAGGCAAAGAAATAATTAGTATATTTTTTATTGTATATATTAATTAATTGTTTTTAGATTAAGAACACTTTAAAACACTCATGTCTAACTGCTTGTATTGTATTAAACATATCTTTGTTTAGATTTAATTTAATAGTTTCCGCGGTAAACTATTAATTACAAAAAAGTCAATATCCGTCATTTATATTATTCTTTATAACGTTTACCTTCGACATCCTTGTCATCCTCGTCCATGCTGATGTCACTAAGATCCGTGATATTAGTATGCAATGAGTTCGTTGGTTCCGGAGAGGAAATGTTTAAGGCTCTGCCTCTTAATGAGGTTGTTTCTTCCGTAGTTTGAATTCCCATTGTAGTGTTCATCATATTCTGGGCAGTAAGATTGTTGATTAGTGTCGTCTTCGTCATAGCAATTATCGGTTCTCCACGAAGAAGAAATGGAATCGATATACTTGTGGCATTTATGGATTTCATTGTCATGGAAGATTGATCAATCTTTGTTGGAGTAGTCGTGGATGAAATTGATAATGTCATTAAAGTATCGGAATCTGCGTTTTTTTTTGTATCATCATCTCTGATTATAGGTTTTTGGTATTTCTGATCACCTTTGGTTTTGGTAAAGTCTATTACAGGTTTTTTCTTTGCTTCGGTAGTGGTCTTGATATCAACTTCTTTTGTTGGATACGCACTTTTTAATTCTGTTATATTATTTCGCCATTCTGTTTGAAAAAGTTGTGTTCCTAAGATATCTTCGCTATTCATATCTATGAACAGAAAAGGGAGATATGATGTTTGAAAAGTTCAAAAATACAGTAAAATTATTAAATATTTTGCTTTTTTAAATATAGTATATCTTTAATTTTGTAAAAAAAAATCGTATATAAAAAATACTGAAAATCTTCTTTTATTAAAACTAAATTAGAATAGATTTTATTCAAACAGAAAAGGAATACGAGAGAATACAAAAAAATATATAAAGATACGAGTATCTTTCATTCATATTTCCTGGAACGAAAAGGATAGATCGCTGTCAGTGATAAGACAAACGTACATAGTTATCTTTTTTTATATGGCATAAAAATTAAGCGCAGACCTTCTTTTTGTTTCCTATGCTCCCAAATACTTGTACTCTTATAATCCTTGATTTTAATGTCATATATAATCTTTCTTTCGATATGATCTATATATTCTATATACTCGCAAATGACATAAGTCTGGGAAAACCGAGCATCTCTCTTGTGCCGTCATTAATGTCTCTGAATGTTCGGTCGCATACACCAAATAAAAGATTATGCTAATATTCTCTATTAATTAAGTAACAAGGCACAACGGAATCAAGATATGCCGAATAACGGTAGTCACACGGATGACGTGAAAGGAAAGGAATGGCAGGAGAGAGAAGTTACACACACACATACAAATTATTGGACCTGACCGCAATCCGAAAGGAGACTCGTACTTCAAATAACTGCATATATGTTTTTGTCTTTTTCAATAATATTATTTACTGATTATTTTCGGTAGTAGGATAGTTTATAAGACTATTAATTTTAAAGAGAACGTTATAGAATTATATGTATGTATGTATATATTATAGTTTATAAAATAGAAAAGTACAGTGTATATGTATGTGTGTGTTCTAATAATATGATCAAATGTCCGTATAACGAAGTTTTGCGTTATGATTTTGTAAAGCAACTAAATGCTAAAATAATAATCCTCTCTTTTTATGCTGTTCTTCCACTTATATTTGTTATGCGAACATGTGACGATGTTAGAGTGAGAAAGCGAGTGAAAGGCGCAACGTGCAACATTTTTATTCTAAATTAGAATAAGAATGAAAATTATATTTTAAACTTCATATTCAAGTAATAATTCAAGTCATAATTAAAAACATTAATTATAGTCAAGAAATAAATCATTAAGCACTAATTTGTCTTGCTAAAAATTATTTATCACTATGTCCTAAATCATTGAACTCTTTAAGACTGATTATAACATCTCTCTCTTTTTCTCTCTGCCTTTCACGTAAAAAACATGGTTTTATTTAAAAAAAAATGATTAATATTAATTGTGATAATTTTGAAATATTTTAAAAATTTATTTAAAAAATGCCTATTATACATATGCACTATCTTCTCATCTCATATGCTATGTTTTTTTATGTCTATAAGTTTATGTACAATTAAAACGTAATAAAAAAAAACACGCATTCAATAACTATTGAGATTTTCTTTGTAAGTAGAACAAAATAAAATAAAGAAATTTTTAATTAATTTAAAACAAAAATATTTAAAATATTAAAGGAATTATCTTTCTATATTATCATCAATTATCTTTTTAATCATGTAATGTAAAAAAAACGTCTTCATAAAGAACTTTTTAATTTTTTTAGATATTGATACTATATAAAAAATTTTTTATACATCTAGATAATTAGCATACTTTTGAACAATCATTTATTTATAAAATAAAGTGATATCTTTTTAAAATTTTCTTACACATGTTAAGAAGTTCTGTTGCCTATTATTACAAATCATTTTGTTGATAACTGGGGTAACGCATATTATAAATATATATATTACAAGATGGGTTTAGCTTCAAGGAGAACTCACCGGGTGTTGTGGCAATTCGCATTTCAGTATTGGCGGTCGTCAAGGAAAAGGCGACCCCGCCTAAGAAGCAGAGCCTTAGCAGAAAGCATTTTTCCTGGATATGCATTCTACTGCATTCTTCTGCACAGCCGTACACACACAAACACGTGCACCTACTGTTTTTTTCTTATAAAAAGATAAAAAATGTATCAAGAAAAAAAAAGTTCAAATACACCTTCTTGACGAGCCACTGTTAAAAACCAACAACGCGGGAACAACAGACAGCCCGTGGCTGACTGGAACGGGTTTCAAAGACCTGGATAGCAAGGAGAAAAAGAGAGAGAATGGTCCATTCTTCATGTATGTGTATATGTGTGAGAGGGGAGAGAGGACAGAATCTCGAAAGGATTGTGTTGAGCTCGCAGTTCACGAAACACTGTCGTGTATATGCACGCTGAAAGCGTGGCAACTGATCGACTGGCCGCTCTCTCTCGTCTCGTTTATGATCCGTTCCGAGGCTAAAGTTAAAGTGCAGTGTAGCGGTGAACGGGATTCACCTCCATAACATATATACATAATATAATTCCACGTGTTATCAAATAAATGAGCAAGTGAGATAATTCCTATGTGTGACAAAAAAGAAAATATTTAATTATTAAAATATTACATTTTCAAGAAAAGAGATAAAAGGCGGCAGATATACGCATCTGTTTAAAAAAATATTGTAAAAGTATTACTTTTAATATATATTTTATCTATGTATGATTAATGAGTCTTTGCATGCCAGAATTAGAAATAATTAAAAATCGCAAAATTAAAATCTGAAAATAATGATTTTATAAAAAAACTAATTTAATACATTCTCTTGCAGATAACAACAGATAAATGTTGTCTGTCAGTGATTATTGCAAACACTTTTGACACATGCACACGATGCATCAATATTATATCTTACATAAGTCTAAATTTGTTTTGTACAATTAGATACATTGTAAATCTATTAATAAATAATGAAACAGATATCTGCCTGCTTGACTCCCAGTATTATAAATCAATGTTTACGCACGCTTTTTACAAAAGTGGCAATTTTTACATGAGATTATATATATATATATATAAAAGGATTATATATATATAAAAACTCACGTGATTCCTAATATCATAATCCAAGATGACAATAGTGAAGAACCAGATTAATATGTTTACTATCAACATCAACTAATATTTCTATCATATTTCTTTAAAAAAATTAAAATCTTTAAAAAATCCAAAGATTACAAAAAAAAGATAAAAAAATAATTCTAGATTGCATTAATTCCGTGTTCTTATATCAGATTTTTAAACTAATATAAAAATGTTATTAAAATATTAATTAAATATACATGCCATATCACCTATATAAAAAATGATTCGTAATTCAAATAATTCTTTTCTTCAACGAAAAGCAAAACCTCATTTTATCATATCAAACTAGATTTTATCAAACTATAATTCCGATAGAAATTTTATTTTGATCCAGATATTCGCACACTCGCACTATTTTTTATCTTTAATATACATATAAAGATTCATAAATGTGTCTTACTATTTCGGAATAATCTAATTCGGCGATTGCAATATCCACGGCGAGGGTTCCTCTTGCTTCCTCTTCTCTTGTTTTCTTCTCTGACCGCGATATTTTATTCGATTGAGAGTCCAATTGACGCCATCTGTCTGTTGCATTTTGGTCGGTGTTGATAGTGCATCACTAATTCGCTCCATACGTGTGAATTTGGTTAATTTTTGCTCTTCGTAACCACTCGTAAAAATATACTGCGAATGGTAATACTGTTTCATGCACGATTCGTCTCGAAAACTCTGCATCGCACACCATACGTGACACAATAAACATGGAAATCTCGACAGCCAATATTCTGTAAACTGTTCAGGAATTTCGCCAAGACTTTCCTGTGCTTTTGGACTTAGTTCTCTGTAGTGATGCTTCTAATAACACAATACCATTCTAACATTAATAATAAGTCAATGTAGAAAATTATACAATTAGGATATTGCTGAAACTACGTTATATTTCTGCTTCACTTATATCTGCATCTATTAGTTTTGTAGAGAAGCCACATGTTTCATCTAATTGTTGTAAAAATCATTATGTTCTTATGACATATAAACGATTCTACGCTACAGAAAAACAAAATTTATCCCATCAAATCTGTTGCATTAAATATGTATAAATATATGTGGCTTTTGTAATAAATATGAAACAAATTCCATCAGAAAATATTTTTAAAAGTTTTAATTTTTCTATGTTTGTAAGTTACAATTATTCTTGTCACCGAAGGAATTTTTTAATTGCATAGTGTTTGTATTTTTACTTATACATTCGTGTTTTTTCTCACTAACCTTATTCCGTAGAGCCCTGAGTAGATCTCTTACGCTATTGCCTCGATAACTTCTGTATTTTCGCAAATCTGTTGCAACCTCCAAATCTATGTACAATCTCCAATCGTCGCGTATCACGCGTTCGCTGCAAGTTTCTAAGGCTACCAAAGCTGGACTATCAAATTGATCTTTTTCCACTCGATCGCTAATATCCTGTCACATATATTATCTTTTGTTACATATGTTTTTATCTATTTGGACTCCGAATAAGAGAAATGGATCTCAAAAATATCAAAACATTTCACATACCTGGAAAAAACTCAAAATCTCTGCTGAATTCCAAAAGATCGGGTAGCTACAAATTGCCGAAGCTGGTGGCCTCCCAGCAGGGTTACTGCATATCATTGCTTTGATTAATAACAATGCTAATTCTGTGTCACTCGAGGATATTCCTCGAAGCGCTGTCAGATTAGTCTCGCCACCTGCAAAAATAAAACAGGCCAAATAAATAACTGATGATTAGTTGATATTTTATATTTAATTAATGCATAAGAAGTGTGTATAAAAATATATAATTAATGTATAAGAAATAATAATTAAGGCTTAAAATATAATTTAAAATTTCATTTGAATTACTACTTACAGAGAATATTGGCTTGTCTGCGTAATGGATCGCCGAAAGGATGCTTGCCGTCAGAGAGAACATAATAAAAAACACAGCCAAGTGAAAAGATATCAACTGCACACGTCGTCCTTTCTCCATTCAACATTTCCGGTGCTATCCAGCCATCAGTCCCAGTAATGCCGGATCTCCGCGAAAATGATACGCGTCCAAGCTGAAGTTTCTTGCATAATCCGAAATCTGATATCATCGCACGTACCTCTCCTCGAGGTCCAGGTACAGAGAGCAACACATTGTGAGGCTTAATATCTCTGTGGACTATACAAAGATCATATAAGTTTAAATTAAATCAACAAATTCGAGAAATTTATTCTTGATATGTTGCGAAATTACATATACAGTCTCACCGATATCTAAAAAATGTAGATGCGCCAATCCAGAGGTAGCCTGATGCAAAATATTTTTCACAGATATCTTTTTCCTGTCGTATTTACCCGTTACGTAATCTTGCAAAGTGGCTTCGGCTAGTTCCAGGGCGATATATCTGAACATACGATCCTGTTCGGTACAAAAATATCTGACTACATTTGCATGCGCATCTGATTCTCTCAACAGAGCTACTTCCCGATCTGCGAACGTAAAACAATCCGGCAAAAGACGTTTCACGGCCACAGCACGACCGTCAAAATCACCTCTGAATAAAGAAAATTAAATTAAATTAAATTTTTCGTATTAAAAATTAATTAATACTTATTTTTTTGCATGAACGAAAATAATGTTGAAAGCAATCGAGATAAATACTACAAACTACAATTAGAAATGCAACATACCTATACACAAATGTTCCTTCGCATCCTTTGCCAAGAACTTGTTCTGTGTCGAAAATAATTTTTCCCACTTTCACTAAGCCCTCTCCAATATCTTCTGGCATAACAATCATGTTGGTTGATTTACCAGAATAATTAGTGCGACTGCTTTCTCGCGACATCTTAACAATCAATTTAATATAATTCAAATTTAATAGCATGTACATTAATCAAGCTTGTATAAACTATATATTAAAAACTGAAATTGAGATTGCATGAAAAAAAGCTTATTATTTATTAATTTATTCGTTTATGTATAAATCTATTGAAAAATTCTTTTTCCAAAAATTGATTAACATTGTATTATCTTTTTTCTAATTCCACAATGCATAATACATGAAACATCTTACCTGTGATAGTTGCTGAAGTTGCTCCTTATTTTGTGCATATAGATACCACAATGCTGCAATCATGCATCCTGCAAATATGATCAGGACCAATTTTATACCTCTATTTTCTTGTTGATTGATCCATACTTTGGTCGTGCTGTACATGTTTAATAAAATTCTCTGCCAATGATGATTGCTTTCTGGTTGCACAGTATTATTTGATATATCCGACTGCATGGCAATAGGTAACTTCATCTCGGTGACATTCAATGTTGAAGCCTCCAAAATTATCGGATCGGATCGCCCAGTTATTTGAAGGAGTTGATTTTGTGGTTTATACACTACAGATATATTGTGATAGCAAAAATTACAAAAATTATAAAATCTGTATAATGCTATGATAAAACTATGATATAATATAATCATGCTTTATTGATTCACTAATACAATGTATACATGCAACTATGATTTGTATATTACCTAGCATACTTTTGGTGTTTTCAAAACTTTGGTAACCATCGTTAGCTATGTCAATATTAGGAATAAAAACATAATCCCCTGGCAATGGCACTTTATTATCAGTTGCATCAACATGTGAAGTTAATAATGGGCCCTCCAGCAATAAATGTCCAATGTTGTTCGATATCGTCGTGGCCGAATCAACGAGCGATGGTAACGCATAGGGACCAAAGTGATGCATTCCAACAAACAAGGTAGGACTAAAACAAGAAGAGATTATTTTAACTTTAATTATTCACTTTTAAATATGCAAATCTTCTTTGTTTAACCTTTTCATGATAAAATCTTTTCTATTTAAATATTTTCTAACTTACAACAACTGAATGTCAGTTGGTTTCGTCGCAAAATTTTCCAACAGAGAATCAGCAATACTTGTGAAAGGAATTGTTAGTAATCCGTCTTTAGTTACAGTGTATATTGCTATCACTGGGCTTTTAAGATCTAATTTCCAAAGAATTCTGCCTAATCTATCTAAAGTCACAACACGACCTGTTGAACTTGTGGTAAAATGTAACAAATCTAAAAATAAATTTATATTATATTATAAAATGTTATAAATATATGTATTTAATATTCTACACAAAATAATTTATAAGAGAATTTTTAAAATGTGTAATTGTTTCACAAAAATAAATAACATACCATATTTTTCTGTTACATCAGGTTCCATTTGTGCAGCAGAGTAATCATAAAATGTTACATTCCACTTTCTATCTTTGCGCTTGCTGTCAACCATAATAATGTTATATTCTGTGCGACCCACAAAAATAGCATTCTGCATTTCCAAAGGACAAGTATTTTTCTCACTATTAAAACTTAAAAGCTGTTCTCTTTCACCAGTTGTTAAATCTATGCTAAACCAGGTATCTATTTTTCTGCCAGTGTATAATATTCCTTCGCTGCTTCTGCAAGGACTGTTAGCTACCAACTGAGGAATAGTAAATGGTAGCTTTTTTAATACCTCTGAATCTCTGCCAAAGAGATAGAGAGAACCATCTCTGGGGTCTGGCAGAAACATTGGTCTAGAAATTAAAAAAATAGTTAATAATAATTCAATATCTTGTGTTATTAAATGCACAAGACACACATAATAATCATAATTTTATGAATAAATATAGACATTTAATAAATGTCACAAAACTATATATAATTATATTTTAAAAAAGTAAATTTAACATAAATAATTAATTTTACAAAAGTAATTGTAAAATATTATTAAGCATCTTATATTTTATTATGTGTAACATACTTAATGTAATATGTAAATAACATACATTTTAGATTCTGATAGATTGATAGGCACTTTGACTACTGGTTCTGAAACATGATGAACCATAGTACATAAATATAATAAAAACAATAATCTAATTAATTTCCTAATGTAATCAAACAAAATAATTACCATCATTTTGTTGCCAAAGTATTTCCCCTGATCGCTGACTAACGCCAACAAACAATCCTCCAAGAGTCGAAAATACAAGAAGATTATCATCTTCTCCTGCTATCAGTTCAGTATTAAGACTCTAACAATAAATATTTAAATCAAATTTTAATTACATAAGCAAATAACTATAATAATTATAGCTTCCTTATGATTTTATTTAGAATATGCAATATATGATATGCATGCCAGAGAAATATAAGTTGTAAAAAATTTTACTTTTATTTTATTTAGTTTGTTATTCCATAAATCTATAAAAGAATTAATCAATTTCTTATAATAAATCTTTAATAAAGATTATATTACATACATCTACCATTTGCTGTCCTACAATAAATGCAAATATTGTCAGGGTAACAAGCATCATTGGCTGAATCATCCACCTTTGCATTGTGAAGAGTATTTATGAATATATATGAATATTGTTGATCGTACAATATGCAAATATGAAATTTCTCCTGCCACAAGTTTAGCTCCATGCAATCACAATGCATCAGTATTTCCTTTATGTAGTATTCATAACAGATATACCATTAATGCAATTATTATACATTATCTTTCTGCGAAAGACAATAGAAGAGATGGAAATCACATGTCTGTATAAATCTCAATTGTACATTAACATGCTCTTACTTCTTAGATAAAAATACAGAGCAATGTTGTACAGACGAGATCATCCTGTAAAAATGATTGTTACAGAATACATTTATATTTTGTTACCACAATGGTTACAAGTATGTACCTGAAGCGAAGATAAAAATATCATAATAAATATATTTTATTCATCTGATCGCAAGTTTCTTCAGCTTCTGAGAACGGAAGCAGTCTCTCAGAAGCATATACGATAAACGATACAAAATAATACGCAAATTCATGGAATATTTTATATAGACACGTGTCTCATCATATATATATACACACATATATATATGTATATATTTCTACGCACATCATCGACCATAGACTATATAGTAAATGTAGAAGTACAGTATAAAATAGTAATAATTCATGCCAAAGAGAATCGAAGTTGCGTTCCAAAAATTATTCTTTGGTGTGTAGTAGTGACCAATCAGAACAAAGGAATTTTTTGTTTCTCTTGTTTTGATTGGTCAAACGCAACTCTTGATTGAACGTCACTCCGAGAGAGTGACGTTCTATTGGCTATCAAATAGAAACATTACCGGGACTTGAAAATTCTCTATTCAACAGCCAATTGCGTGACCATGCGTCTACCTGTGTTTTCTCGCTGAAAAACTCCCATCGTTTCCCGCGATCAACGGACGACGATAGGGGAAAGGGAAGCGGCAGCGGCATCTCGGAGCGCGGTTACCTCACGAGCGACCGGCTTCCTCGGTGCATTTTTGCGCGCGGAACGATTCCGTCTCTGTCGGCGCGGCGCGGAAAGTGTGCGGAAATTAACCGAAACGTGTCACCGATTCCCGTGGTGGATTGCGGAAACGTGTAGATAGGTGATAAGCAAATGCGTTTTTCGGAATCGACGACGTAGGTACACCCGGTCGGAGGGGACGCGACGCCAAGTATCGGTGAGTCTCGCGTGCGTTCCCTCCCTCCGCGACGGAAATCGCGGTTTCCATCATCGAGACCAGACGTTCCCGCCGTAACCTTTCGTCGCCATTGTAACTATGTATCACATCGTTGAATCGTATATGTAATTTTATACGCTCTTATCTACGCGAGATATGTTCCTTAAATAAATACACGTAACGTGTACGGTTTACAATCAGAGATTTGCATTTTTACGCGCGTGTTAAACCGGATCAAGCAAACGATCGTGAACGAATGTTGGCGAATAAGCGTGATGGGGCATTAATTTTATGAATTCCTTTTTTTCATAAAATGATTTTTTATGATTATCATTTAAATAAATATTTAAATAAAGCTTCACCAGTAATACTTGTTGATATTTGTACTTGTTTGCTTGATCTCTAGCTTTACATTCACAAATGTCTTTATTTTTATATATAAGTATTGTAATATTTGATAATAGTTGCGATGTCTATATCGATATCGATATCACAGTTTACTGACAAAAAAATATAACTATACATTAATTTTATTTCTAGAATGCTTATCACAATCTATCGATAATGTCGAATCCAGAGGAAATGGACAGCTGTGTCTCAGCTACACAAGAGACTTATAAAAATGCCAAGGAGGAGGACTCCAAAAAGAGAAGTTTCAATGAAAACCAAAATGCAAGCTGGGGCGAAAGTCAAGATTTTTGTCTTATCGTCGAAGGAGATAGCATGACAGAGGGAGAAAAGCTCTCTATAAAAGATGAAGACGCTAATCGCCAAGATTCTACAGAACAGTCGAATCTACAGCAGATTCCAGTGTCACAGACAGATGACAAAGTGGTCACAAATGATGAAGTCAAAAATATCGAAGATGAAAAGATAATGGAAAACGAGAGTGTAGATCTAAAGCATAGTTTTAAGAAAAGTGAAATATTTTTATACAATGTAATGATACCTCTATAGTAACATTAAAATAATTAAATAATGTAAATTTTCATTTTCAAAACTCTATGTGTGTATGCACGCGTGCGTGTTATCAAATAAATGAGCAAGTAAGAGATAATTCCTGTGTGACAAAAAAGAAAATATTTAATTATTAAAATATTACATTTTCAAGAAAAGAGATAAAAGGCGGCAGATATACGCATCTGTTTAAAAAAATATTGTAAAAGTATTACTTTGTAGGGAATGTATTCAGCGATGTAAACGATTCGGAGAGGAAAAATGAATTTTCCGATGAAGACGAAATCATCCAAGCTACACCTCCGCAGAATCATTCGCCGTCTAGGAAAAGTGCCGGCAATATCGACATTACGGGTTTAAAACGGAAAGCTGAGTCCATTGACGAACCCCCTGCTAAAGTCACCAGAACGGTGTCTATGAAAGATATAGCGGACACTGAGAAACGACTGGAGAAGGAAGAGGAGGAGAGTCGTCAGTCTGGCGAATCTGACGACTCGTATCAAGATTTATTCAAAAATATTGACAGGCACGTCGTAATAGAGGAGACCCAGGATCCAATCAACCAAGAGTTTACTCAGAACTCTTTGGCGAGCCCTTTAGAACGTACGACAATCGATGATGATAAAACGCAGAACCCTCATCACTCCGAACAAGTAAATCAACAAGAGGAAGTCTTTTCTGAGAAATGTTGCAATATGGAGAAGGATGAGAATCTGAATGTTTCCGCGAAACTGACCGATGTTAGCGCCAATGACAGTATTGTCGTCAACATAAATTCCATAAACGAAAGTGACTCGCAAGTGGAAGACAGCGATTTGCCGATTGAAGCAAAGAGGAATGCTGATTCGACGGTCGCTGTCGAGAAATCTGCGACTGAAACGTTAGACGAGACGGACAGATCTGTAAAAGTAAAGAATACCGAAACACTTTTCGGCGAAAGCAATAAAGTTGAGCACACGAATTGCATCGAGAAAACCGCCGATGATGATAAAAAAATCTCGTCTTCTCAGATCAAACTACGAACCAGCGTGGAACTTATATACGAAAGCGCGAGTCGAATTGCCGACAATGACGAAAAAAAATCAAAGCCGGAAGTGGTGGAGATCGACGAGGACGAAGGTGACAAGATTGTAGACTCGTCGACCGAGGTGATATACGATCGTAAAAATACTAAACCGGAGCCGGAAGTCGTCGAGATCGTCGACGACTCACACGAGGATGTTGAGAAGACTCATCCGGGATTCGTCCCGGACTCGGGAGAGGGTTCCGAGATACAGACTGTGGAAAAGAGCAGCATCGATTTCAGCTACAAGTCCACAGAGAGTATGAAAGAGTCGTCGTTGGATTCTAGACCACCGACAACGGATAATAAGATGGTGAACGGTAGCCTTGAATCCAAGAAGGCTGATAACGACGTGACCCTGAGCATGGAATCGGACACATTCTCCGGCTGTGATGCGCCAATCTTTACGAAAGCCGACATCAATGTAGACAATGTGAAGAAACTGGATAATGTCAATTCCTTCGTGTTCAGAGACCCGGACAATATTGAGCTGATCAGTCTAAGCGACACTGATACGTCCAATGTGGAGGAAAAGAGCAAGTCCGATCTAATCCACAACAGTGCGCCGATCAAGACCGTGCAGGTACAGTCACAATAAATACTTGTTTGTCTTCCCACATCATCCATCATAAAAAAGATTTAATTATAATTATTATAATTATTAATAAATACATTAAATTATAAATATAAAGAAAGCTATAGAGAGAATTTATTATATAAAAAAGATATTTTTTGCGTAAATTATAAAAATATATATATATATTATTATTATTATTATTATTATTATTATTATTACAGATGGAGCGAGAGATCGGTATGTATGTCAAACTCAAGTGCATGATTCACATGGACGAAAACACGAAGGAGTACGTGAACAAGGAGCTGACGGCAGTGCATTGCGAGCCCGTAATCGAGTCCACGATGGGTAGACAAAAGAACGAGGACAGCCAATCCTCATTAGCGGACATCTCTGATAATAAGGATTCGCCGCCCGGTTCTGTCAATAGCAATCCCCACTTGTATCAACTGAATCCTTCCCGACTATCTATCATGTCGTCCATCAGCTCATCGAGCTCGGCGTCCAGCGCCGCTGCTCTAGCCGCGAAACTCGCCTTGAAGGCGCTGGGGCCGGCGAGGTACACGAAGAAACTGTCTTCCCAGGAATCGCTATTGACAGACAAATTGATATTGGACGATATCTATAATCGCGTGACGCGCGAGTGGAAAAATCACCACTTGGTAACCGCGACGATCCTGAATTGCGCGAACACGGAGCTCAGTACAACGAATGTTGGCAATATTGAGCTGACAGATCATCGTAATACTCATCACTTGAGAGATAACTTTGTACGTTCGTCGACACCATCGGAAGATGCCGCAGCCAGTGCGAAAATCGAATTAACCGCCACGCCGAAGAACACGAAGAAAGGGAAAGCTGTGAAGAGACCGAGGAGTAAAGTGGCGAAATCGAACGCTGTACAGACCAATGGCAACGAGGACATGGCGAATATAAATACCGAGCCGACTCTGCACGCTTCCTCCGTTGCAGAGACCGACACACCGTCCGGCAAGAAGAAGAGCAGATTAGAAAGTACGGAGAATAAATTAGGCGTGGACATCTTGGCGAATTCGTCGCTGCGAAACGATCCGGCTGACGAACTGATCGGTAAAAGCGTATTCGCCAAATGGTCGGACAATAATTACTATCCCGGTATGGTGGATGATCGACTCAAGACCAAGTACAAGGTGAACTTTTACGACGGCAAGAGCAAGACGCTTATACCGGAGTTCGTTATACCGATACCAAAGATTCTGAGGGAGGGTCTGTCCGTTTACGCGACTACGAAAGCTAATGATTATGGCTCCTGCGGCATTATCGTCGATTCCCACATGTCGTCGACGGTAAGCAACAGCGATGATAACAGCGACACGTACTACACGGTGGAGACCGACGAGGGTGAGCGATTGCGCGTGCAAGTGCGGGACATTTTCCTCTCGGCCGATCAAGCACAGGTGCTAAAGGAAGAGGTGGACTCCGCTAGTAAGAGTTCTATGCCGAGCACGCCGAAGACGCTCGGCCAAGTGACGCTCGACAACATGGTGGACGGCAAACGGCGCTCGAAACGGATCGGCACACCGGTCTTCTCGACCCCCAAGTCAAAAAGCAACGGGACGAGCAGTTCTACTAGCAAGATCAAATCTTCGGAACCCTCTGTGTCCGGCGTGTCCGTCAGATTAAAGGACACGTTGTCGGAGAACGAGGGCCTGTCGAGCGATTCGAATGTCGAATTGGCTCAGGTGCAAGACGAGTATGTTCTGTTAGGTTTGCAGAAGGAGATAATCGGCACGCCGTACGAGCAGATTATGAAGGGTCCGCAGAACAGAATCAAAGGCAAACCACGCAACAAAAAGAAGGTAGAAGATCCGCAGACTATCGCCACGCTTGGCCCGATCCCAACAAACTCCAACATTTTTAAAGGCATGTCGTTCATTCTCACTTGCGTATCCTTGGAAACGTTGGACAGGTATATATATATATATATTTTCTTCTCCTCTTCTTTACCTTATATTTATCAATTTACGCAGCAATTCCACAATTTTAAGAACACTGAAAAAATAAAAGAATATTAGTCAAAATAAGTTATATATATATATATATATATATTTTTTTTTAATATTTTTATTCGTCTTGTCATCTTTAGAAAA